CCTCTCCTCTCCCTCTCTCCCCCTCTCTCTGTGTAACGCTGACTTTCAAATACATAAATAAATCTTTTTTTAAAAAAGAATGTGTGGGAAAGATGAAAAGATAGAGAGGAAAAGAAAATGAGGCACACACATGATCAGAAAGAGAAGACAGAGACAATGTAAGGGATCAAAAGAGACGGAGCCTGGGAAGCCAGAATTTCAGACAGAGAACTGCCTCGCCAGGCATAGCCTCAAGAGACTACAGGCCCAGACAGAGAAGTCTGGATCTGTCAGGAAAACAGGAGCAACAGATACCACACCAAAATAACATGCACCTGCTCAGTCCCTGTGCTGTGAACATGCCAAGACTAACAGCAAGACACACACAGCTCTCTGCACCAGAAAGAGAAAGATCTCCATCTTTGACCCTGAAGACAGTGTAATGTGCATTTTCACAACCCTCGGCTTTCATGAAGAAAAGGCTTTGTTGCCTGCCCTGTATGCAAAGCTAATTGGAAACAAGATCAAAGTTCTCCCACGTCTGCTGACCGACTCCTGGGAAAGGTGCGACTTGTGCCCTTCTGTGGAGACAGACTAAGAAGAGGTAACGTGCATAGGTGTTCACCAAATCCTTTCTAGTTATCTTGCATTATCCTTGTCTCTCAAAGCACCCTGAAGCCAAACAGGATTTTAGCAATCTAGCATTCTATAGACCACAAAAAAGCTGGCCTATTAAATTGCTTACAAACTTTTTTTTTTTAACAGGCAGAGTGGACAGTGAGAGAGAGAGACAGAGAGAAAGGTCTTCCTTTGCCGTTGGTTCACCCTCCAATGGCTGCCGCGGCCGGCGCGCTGCGGTCGGCACACCGCGCTGATCCGATGGCAGGAGCCAGGAGCCAGGTGCTTTTCCTGGTCTCCCACGGGGTGCAGGGCCCAAGCACCTGGGCCATCCTCCACTGCACTCCCGGGCCACAGCAGAGAGCTGGCCTGGAAGAGGGGCAACCAGGAAAGAATCCAGCGTCCCAACCGGGACTAGAACCCGGTGTGCCGGCACCGCTAGGCGGAGGATTAGCCTAGTGAGCCGCGGCGCCAGCTACAAACTTTTTTTTTTAAGATTTATTTATTTTACTTGAAAGAGTTACACAGAGAGAGAAGAGGCAGAGGCAGAGAGAGAGAGAGAGGTCTTCCATCCACTGGTTCACTCTCCAGATGGCCGCAATGGCTGGAGCTGGGCCAGGTTGAAGCCAGAAGCCTGGAGCTTCTTCTGGATCTCCCACATGGGTGCAGGGGCCCAAGCACTTGTGCCATCTTCTGCTGCTTTCGCAGGCCACAGCAGAGAGCTGGATCAGAAGTGGAGCAGCTGGAACTCGAACCGGCGCCCATGTGGGATGCCGGCGCTACAGGTGCCGGCTTTACCCGCCACGCTATAGCACTGGCCCCGGAAACTTCTTCAGAATACTAAGTTCTAATGTGTTATTAGATGAATAAAATATAACGCATAGTATCGTAGCCAAATGGGAGAGCGTGGGGACCCACATCAGTGCCTTGGCTTGGCTTTGCTCCCTCTACCCGGAATGCTCGCCAGTGCCCTCTGCTGGTGCCTGCGCAGCCCTCCCCGTCCCACTCTGTGTTCCCCTATCAAAAGGCAGAATTGAAGAGCCCTAGGGTTCCCTTGAAATCAGTCTCATCAAAGTCACTAATGTACCTCTTGCTGCTATATGCTTTTCCGTATTTATCCCATGTGATTGCTCAGTGGTTCACAGCACGGTTGGCCATTCCTGCAACGCTCCTTGCCCTGGGATATCGGGGTCCCACCCTGTCCCAGCTGCTCTCCTCCTCTGCCCTCTGCCTCTCCAAGCTTTCTCCCTCTCCCCAGTCCGATTCCTGCCGAGCCCCAGGGCTGTCTGGGGTCCTCTCACTGACCTGCTTTCATACCTTCTCGTCAGTGCATTTCTTCTTGTCTCTAAGATTTATTTATCTGAAAGACATAGTAACAGAGAGAGAGAGAGAGAGAGAGAGAGAGAGAGAGAGAGAGACAGAGACAGGGTGCTGGTTCACCCTCCCAATGCCTGCATCGACCAGGGCTGGGCAAGGCTGAAGACGGCAGCCTGCAACTCCGTCTGGTCTCCCACGATACTTGAGCCATCTTCCTCTGTCTTCCCAGGCGCATCAGCAGAAAGCCGGGTCAGAAGCAGAGCAGCCAGAACCCAACCAGGCACTCTGATGTGGGCTGTGGGCAGCCCTCGGGGCAGCGGTTCAGCCTGCAGCACCACAGTGCCTGCCCCTCCTCCAGGGAATTCACCGTTAGGGTCGGACTTTGCGCCCACCTGATTGCCTTACCAACAGGAAAGGGAGACAATTGGTGTGCTCAGGCTGCCAAGAACTGAAAGAAAAATCTAAATTCATTTCCGTAATATTTTTTCCATCTATTTGACACCAAGTTTGCTTGCTCAGTGTTGTTTTACCGAAGCACTGCATCACAGAGATCGCGTTAGTCACGGTGGGCTGAAGAGGACTGCGGCGTCCACCCGTGTGGCTCCATCTTGTTCCCCAGCGCGGGACTCCTGCCCGTGGGAAGGGGACCACCCTTGGCTTTTTCAGCCGACAAAGTCATCTCCATTGTCATGTACGTTTCTGGAGCGGGAGCTGAGGGTGTTCCAGAAAGTGAGACCGCTCAGAATCACTCCCAGGTAGACAGCAGCTGGGACAGAGTTAGAGGCAGTTACTGGACACTGATCAATGCGGAGCTGAGGGGCACCCAAGAGAGCACGCCCTGGGCCCTGCCCCGAGAGGCTGCCAACCCAGAGTCCCTGCACGGAAGAGGAAGTCAGCCATCTGGGGTGGGGTCAGCCACAGGGGGAGAAGAGACATAGATCCATGGGGCTGGTCACAAAGAGGTGTACAAGTAACCCCCCTCACTGAACCCCCGTTTGTATAGTACAGGACTACACAAACCCTCTCCAACGTGAGCCCAGCCCAGGACCCACCGGAAGGAGTAGATGATGTCTTCATCAGGTTCCTAGGACTGTGACTGACACAGGTGAGCATGTGTCACTTACCCAACAGTTGTGCAGCCCCTGCCTGTGCTGTCCAGTGTGTAGTTGCCAGGGAGACAATACAAGCCAGGTACACATGGCTTTTGCTCTCACTGAGCTCATGGGCTACAGGTGCAGTGCCTGATATGGTAGCCACAAGTAGCCACTAGAACTTAGAATTTAGACCATCAGTGACATTTCATGTGCTCAACAGCCAACGCGGCTACACTGCCCTGACTAGAAAGTTCTGTCGATGGGCACTGGAAAAGCGCAGAGAAATAGGTGGGCACACGCTTGTGATGGTAACAGCTGCGATGGAGAAGCACAGGTGCTAGGAGAGAACTGTGCCATTGCTACGCTCTCTACGTTCAAGATGCCGAGACAGGGCCTGAGAGAAGTCAGGCAGTGCGGCCAGGCGCTCACAGCTACCAAGAGCTGGAATCCTAGCCCAGCCCTGTCTCGTGCTGCCTCAGGCTGCCCTCTGGAGCAAGTGAGGCAGGCCTAGGTAGACTCTGGTTACAGAGAGAGGGCATTCCTGGTGGAAAAGTGACAGTTTGGGCAAAGGCAGATGGGCAAGGCTGGCAGAGGACCACAAGGAAACCAGTCTGGCCGGAGAGGCAGGGACTCGCTGAACTCGGGTGCCCGGGAGAGGTAAGTCGGGACCTGCCTGCCTTGGTTAACAGCCAAGGAGCTGGGAAACAGCCCTGCACGCAGGAGCCTGGACGGCAGGGTCCGAGCCGGATGCAGATGGAGGTGCCGAGGAGGCGCGCGGCCAGGTCCCGACCGCCGGAGGCCAGTTAAGGGCTGCAGGAATGGAGCGGGAGCTGAGGTCGAATCCCGCCGGCCCGGCACCGGGCGGCCGTGGGCCATACCCCTGCCTTCTCCAGGCCTCCTCTCAACTCTGAAAGGTCCCTCGCAGCCGCAGCCGGCCAGGAGGCCGGGAGCCCGTGGGCCAGGGCGCCAGAGGTTCAGGGGGCAGCAGGTGAGCAGGGCGCGCGCCCGCCTTCCGGCGGAGCCCTGGCCGCGGGGGTTCCCACGCGCTGAGGAAACACTGGGCTTGCTCGTAAGCACCTTGCACGGCGTAGCGGGCCATACGACTCCATTACGGCCCAGCGCACTCGTCCGGCGCCAGCAGCCGACACAAAAGGCCTACGAAGCGTTCCCAGCCCTTGCCAAGGCCGACGGCCTCTCGCGGTTTCCAGGGGCTTCTTTAAACAAGAAGGCTTGGTCGCCATCCGCTGGACGTATCTCGGGATCCACCGGTGTGTCACGACCCACACGCCGCCCAAGAGGAGGCTCAACAAGTCCTCCCGAGTTGCGGCGGCGCGGGGCGGGACGCGCGGGCGGGCTCCGGGCTGGCAGAGGCGGACGGAGCCGATCCCGCGGGCGCGGGGGGCGCCCCGGCGGCGACGCCCCCGGCCGGCGGCCGGCCGCACGCACGCGAAGTTCTGGCGGCCGCGCCGGCCCCGGCCCCGCGGCTCCCGGCGCCGGCCCCGCGGCCCGCCCCGCCCGCGCCGTGCCCGCCCGGCCTGCCCTCGGCTCGGCCGTCCCCGCCTCGCATCCGTGCCATCGGCGCTCGATTGCGCGCGGACTCCCTGTGGCTCTTCCCGGCTCGCTCGCTCGCTCGCTCGCTCGCGCTCGGCCGCGCCGCCCCGCCTCCGCCGCCCGCCGCCCCCGCCCCGCCTCCGCCGCCCGTGCAACTTTTGCCGAAGCCCCCGCGCACAGCCATGCTGAGCTGAGCTCCGGCCGGGCCCTGGCCGCGCGCAGCCCGCCCCGGCTCCCGCCCCTCCGCGGACCCGCTCGGGGGCCGCGGCCGCTCGGCCCCTCAGCCCGCCCGGCCGCGGGCCGCCCGCGCCCCTCACGCAGGGCCCGGGCCGCGGCGGCGGCGGCGGCGGCGGCGGCGGCGGCGGCGGCGGCGGCGGCGGCGGCGCGCCCGCCCGGCCCCCTCCCCCGGCGCCGGCCAAGTGAGGCGGTGATGCGGGCGCTGGCGGCCTCGGCTGCGCCGAGAGCGGAGACACAGGCTCAAGATGGCAGATTCCGACTGAGGCTGAGGGGGCCGAGCTCGCGCGCCGCTTTCCCTGCTCCGTTGCCATGAATCGCGGACACCCCGGCCCCGATGGCCCCCGTGTACGAAGGTAAGGGGGCGCCCGGCCGCGCCGACCCCGCTCGCCCGCCGCCGCGGCCCCCGCAGCTTTGTTCTGCCCGCGGCCCCGCGCCGGGCAGCCCGCGGCCCCCCGGGGGCGCCGGGTCTCCAGCCCCTCCCCCCGCCCCCTCCGCGGACTGCTGGGGGTGGGCTCCCCGGGCCCCGGCGCGCGGACCCCCGCCCCTGCCCAGCAAATGACCGGGATCCGGCATTTGCCGGGATCCTGTTTCCAGGGAGGAGAAAGAGCCGGGGCGGGGGGTGGGGCGGGGGGTGCGCGGGTGGGCTCCTGCCCAGAGAAAAGGGATGGGAGGGGGCGCCGGCTCGGCGGATCGGTGCGGCGCTCTGGGCCGGCGGCCGGCGGAGGTGCTGCGGCTCGGCCTGCCCCTGCGGAGAGCGCTACCTCCCGGAGGCTCTCCCTTCCCCTCCCCTGCCCCGGCGGCGGCCCTGCGCGGCGCTCTCACGCCCACCCCGCGTCCCTTTATTCTCCGCGAGCCCCCGGCCCGGGGCGGGATGCGTGCGGCGGGGCGGCGAGCGGGGGCACCGAGGGGAAAGTCCACGCCGGCCCCGGGCAGAACAATGAGCCGGGCCGGGCGCGCGGGGAGGGGGCGGCCCGGGGGGCGCCCGCATTGTGCGCCTCACCTGGCGTGGCGCGGGCCCGGCGACCCCGCCGGCTGCGGGAAGAAAGGAGGGCGCGCGCGGCGCGAGCGCTGCCTGGGCCGCGCCCCCGCTCGCGCCGCGGCCGCCTGCGCGCTGTCAGCTCCCGGCCGGAAGGCAGACCCGGAGCAACTAAGTTTTTGCACTTGGAGGTGTTTTCGTGTGCCGCCGGGAGGAGGGACCGGGGCCGGCGTGCGCCCGGCGCTCCCGGTGCCTCTGGCGGGGTCGTGGCCGGGGCAGCCTCTGCGCACTTGGAGCGAGAGTCCGGCCGGTGGTGTTCGGTGGCCTGCGGATGAAATGGCAAATCGGAGGGGCGGGGGTCTGCATGGCCCCGGCCGCGGCCGTGCTGAGCGACACACGGGTCGCACTAGCGGTTTTCTCTCTCCGAGGAGAGGGGGGTTAAAAAGAAACTTATCTGGGAAGAAAATCTGCTGTTAGCTCCAGGGCCCCGAGTGAATTGGGTTTCTGGGTGGAATAAAGTTACCCGTCAGGCCCTGGAGAGCGAGGCTGTAAATAACCTATCAACTGTAAATATTTTTTTTCGGACTCTCTTAGAAACAAAGGGGCTGTTTAGAAGGCAACAGAGAGATGTTATTCCAGGGGCTTTCCTCTTTGATTCCGGGGAACACAAGGTCCATTTAACCGCGGGACAAAACAAGACGCGGGTTCTGATCGCTGCGCCGCGCTGGGCGCGCGGACGCTGGGGGGACCCGGGTCGGGCATTCATTGTCCGTCGGCGCCCAGGGCCGGCTCCGTGAATGCTGCCGCTGTCTCCGGGGTTCGAACGGAGCAGCTCTCTCCGGGCGGAGCACCTCGGTCAGACTCCCTCTGCTGGGCGCTCCGCGGGAGCCCCGGAGAAGGAACCTGGCCTTGGACTCGAGCGGGAGCACACCGCCGCTGTATCCCCAGCCTGGTGGAGCCCGTGCCTGCACGTGGAGCGCGGGCCCCTCTTCCCGCGCGGTTCTTGCGGTGCCTGGCACCAGATGCCGCGCCGTGGGCGTGGGGGTGGTCCGCCTTGAGGGTCAGCGGGCTGCCCAGGGGCTCAGCTCCCTGGCCCCGTGGCCTCCGGATCACCTCTCTGCAGGGAGGTTTCCGTCAGTCCCCGTGTGCTCTTAGTTACTCCTCTGCCGTACTGGCCGGCTCTGGGCGTCTTTCCCATTCTTTGCCTAGTCTTCTGGTCCCACCAGCCCAGCCTCACTCTGCCAGAAGCCCAGGCCGGGGTCTGCGGGAGAGAGACAGGGGCTGGGCTGCTGGGACCTGCGCCGGGGAGTGCTTGGGCGGCCGCCTCTGCTCACCCTGGCAGTCCCTGCGTTCAGTGAACCTGGTTGTTACCAGATCCCAGTCCCAGCACACACACCTCCCTGTGTGCGTCCCGAGCGAGCAGGGCTTTTCCTGTGGAATTCTCCAGGAACGTGGCTTCTAAGGGGTTCGAGCTTCTAAAAATCAAATCGCAGTCTTCTCCAGAGAAGTATGGCACACGAGGCCCTTCAGCGGGACTGCTGAAACGGGCGCGACCACGCCAGGTCGGGATACCCGGGGAAGGCCTGGATGCTCAGTGGAGCATGCCGAACTGCCACATTTAGACAGAAATGCTGTTTCTGAAACAAAAGCATATTCAATTTTTTTTATTTGAGAGGCAGAGAGAGAGAGCGCTCCTATCCACTCGTTCATTCCCAGATGCCTGCCACTTCCAGGCGAGGCCAGGGCTGCGGCTGAAGCCAGGGAATGCAGTGCAGGCGTCCCGCCCCGCCCCGCCCCGCGTGTGTGGCTGGGACCTGATTGCTTTGCCATCGCTGCAGCCTCCTGGGATCTGCATTAGCGGGAAGCTGGAGTCAGGAGTCAGAGCGGGGAATGGAAGGAAACCCAGGCACTTGGGTGTCCTAACTGCTAGGCTGAGCGGCTGTGCCAACAAGGTGGATTTGACAATATGAATTAATGAGTGGCGAAGTGTGATTGATCTTCCAGGGCTTGCTTTAAGGATAGGTTTATAAATAGCACATCAGTTTTCTGTGGCCTGGTTTGGTGCTGATTAAGTTAAACTTCTTTTAAAAAGGTTTATTTTCTTTAGAAGGTTAAACATTTGCCTTGCAATTGTATTTACTCCATCAACTTGCTTAGCAAGGCTTTTTAAATATGTAGTCCAAAGGCCAATCACAAAGTTCTGTATCGCTGTGAGTTCAGAGTTACAGGGACCTAAATTCCCAGCTAATGATGTCTTTTTATTTTTATTTTTGTTTAAGACTTATTTATTTATTTGAAAGACAGAGTTACAGAGAGGCAGAGGCAAAGAGAAGGAGAGAGAGCTTCCATCTGCTGGTTCCCTCCCCAAATGGCCACAATGGCAGGAGCTGTGCCGATCCAAAGCCAGGAGCCAGGAGACTCCTCTGGGTCTCCCAGTTGGGTGCAGAGGCCCAAGGACTTGGGCCATCTCCCACTGCCTTCCCAGGCCGTAGCCGAGAGCTGGATCGGAAGTGGAGCAGCTGGACTTGAACCGGCGCCCATGTGGGATGCTGGCACTGCAGGTGGGGCCTTTACCCGCTACGCCACAGCGCTGGCCCCATTAGTGATGTCTTACCCTATCTGCAGTGTGGTGTCTGTAGGAATTAGCTTATGTGAGGGACACTGAAGTGTAAACAGTTAGACTTCCAGGAACTGTCCTGCTGAAACCCATCATCATACAGGCCTGGTAGACAGGTGTCTACCACAGTGCCTAACAGGAACTGAGATTCTGAGTCGTCTTCCGTTAATGATAATTTGAGGGTGGGCATTTGGCACAGTGGTTAAGGTGCTGCCTGGGACACCTGCGTAACTTGCTGGAGTGCCTGGGTTCAAGTTCCAAACTGCCTTTGCTTCCATCTTCTGGCTAACATGGCCCCTGGACGACTCAAGTACTTGGGTCCTGGCTACCTACGTGACAGACCTGAGTTGACTTCCAGTCTCCTGACTTTGGCCTGGTCCAGCCCTGGTGGTCGCTGGCCCTTGGGGAGTGAACCAGCAGGTGGAGGACCTCTCTGTGTCTGTCTGTGTCTTCCTCTCTCTGTCTCTCAAATAAAAATAAATAAAGATTTTAAAAAGGAGAATTTGGTAACACAAGCTCCAGAATATCTGTTCCTGTGTTTTATATATTTTTAAAAATGAGTAAACATAAATACTGTTTTCCTTGATTCTAGATAGAGTGGTATGATACTTAAACCAGAGGAAACTGGTTTGGATCTAGCTGTGTGATTTTTGGGCATGCTACTTAACTTCTCTGAGATTTTTGGAAAGCCACCCTGGCCTGTGTGTGGACTCCGTTAGAAACAAGTGTGTGTGTGTGTGTGTGTGTGTGTGTGTGTGAAGTCGGCGGTCGCAGGCTTTCTCGGTGTGTGTTAAATCCCTCTATCTTCTGAGCTGCTGACAGGCATGATGACTCCAGGGAAAGAATAACCAACAAATAGTTTAGAAAACCAATAATAGCAACATTTCAATTATTAATCTCCTGCTATTCCCTTTCCAGTTTGGGCACCGGCGACAATAACCCCCTATAGCCACAGAAGAAAGAACCTTTTTTTTTTTTTACTCCTCTGTGACCTTTCCAGGTTCTGTATTCCCGCTGAGCTTCTGCTGGTTTCAGGTAGAGAACTTCCCTTCTGAGGTGGCACTTTCTATCTCATTTACAAAACGTGGCAGCAAACCGCTAGAGCAGAGTTTCAGGAGCAGCAGCTGTGCCCTGGGAGGCATCCCCAGGGAGGAAAGAGAACCTTCGCCCTGCACCAGGATCCGCTCCTAAACAAGGCGGCAGGCCCTGCGAGGGAGCGCCCAGGAGGGGCTCCCCAAGGCCCCCTGCCAGGCACCAGCCAGGGTCTGCGTCCTCATGCATAAAACATCACTTTCCCACACAAGGAGGTTGGGAGCTTCATGCAAGTTACAGCTGCCCCTGTTCTTCATGCTTTAGGTTTTCTGTTTCCTCATTTCTCTCTCCCTTCCTCCCACGGAGACCTGTCTGGGGGAACCACCTTGGAGGTCTGTGTGGAACCACGCAGTGAGGATCGAGACGGTGTGATATGCGAGCGTTTTTCTGGCTCTCTGCACATGCGATTTGCCGGTGCTTTCTGCAAGTCTTATAGCACTGGGGATTGCTATCAAAGATGTCAGCAGACTTTATAGAACCACCTGTACGGAGTGGACTAGGAAGGGCCAGGCCCGTAACAGCTCCGTTTCACATAGCAGTACGCTGTTGGGGGAAGAAGAGGAGGCTGCAGGCTGGACGGGAGGCGGTTCCTTCCTCCCGCTGAGCTTCATGGTGGTGATTGTGGTGGGACCCCACTGCGGGCTGCGCTTGTGCCCCCTCCAGCCCCA